AAGTACCAGGAACATACTCTGTAAGTACCAGGAACATACTCTGTAAGTACCAGGAACATACTCCGTAAGTACCAGGAACATACTCGATAAGTACCAGGAACATACTCGATAAGTACCAGGTTCAGACTAAGTACCAGGTACAAACCCTGTAAGTAATTGATACATCTAAATACCAGGGACATGCTCTGGAAGTACAGGATACATACCCTGTAAGTACCTCTAAATACCAGGAACATACTCTGTAAGTACTGGGTACAGACTGCAAGTACCAAGTACAAACCCTGTCAATACCAGGAACATTTTCTGTAAATACTGGGGACATACTCTGGAAGTACCAGGTACATACCCTGTAAATACTAAGAACACATTCTGTAAGTACCAGGTACATAATCTAGAAGAACTGGGTACATACTCTTGAAGTACCAAGTACATATACCTTGTAGATACTGGATCATTACTTGGTAAGTAGCAGGATCATACTTCAGGCATAATTTGTAAACGCTGGGTACATTAATTCAGTTCAGTTATACAGCGTCAAATCACAACAAAGTTGTCTCAGGGCACTTTACTTTTGATTCACATACATAGAGAAGCCAATTAGTAAAGTTCTCTATCTAAGGAACTGGTTGGCCCACTATGTGAGTAAGCCACTTATGGGACTGACATACTCTGTAAGTACCGGTTTGATAATTTGTAGATATTAAGTAAATACCTTGTAGGGGTTCTTAGTACGTACCAGGATCATACCATTGTGTACCTGTTACGTAGCAGATACATACTTGCTATGCACACTTAAGTACTTGGTACATGTCCAGTGAGTACTTACTATGTACTTGTTATGTACTAGGTACATAACCAATATGTACTCTGAAAATACCTAGTGCATACCAGGTATGTTCCTGGTATGTACTCTCAGCATCTGGTAATTACTAGGTAATACTCTTGGATATACCTCATAAGTACCTGGTATGTACCAGGTACACTACAACTAACGAGTACATACCCAATAAGTACCTAGCATGTAGTTTATAAGTACCAAGCATGTGCCCGTAGATACTGGGCTGTGTAGACCGTCCTTCAGCAGCAGAACCCCGGGTGGTTTTCTGAAGGACTTGATCGTGTCTCTAGTGGTTGTGGAGGAATTTTGTCCCATTCTTCTTTCCTGTGTTGCTTCAGTTCTTTGAGGTTTCTGCTCCGTTCTCTGAAGGTCCCACCACAAGATCCAGAGCTAATAAACATCACAAGTTGATCACGCTGGTTCGACCCATATATTTAGCCTAAGGACTAATTACTGGCTTTACTCCTTTTGTTTTAATCTCCACTACAACCGATGTTGTAGTTACGTTGTAAGATTATTAAGCTTGCATCAGATATAACCGATGTACGTCATTGTCCCAGAATGCATCGTACTAATATAAATAGATGGAGATCCTTTTGACGTATTTAAATACAACTTCTGATGTTTATTTAAAATCTTCTCGTGTGTGAAGCTGCACAGGATCGAGCGGTCGCATTTTCTGTTTTTCAGGACTATGAGATGAAAACACGTCTGCAGGGAACTCGCTGGGTTGAGCTGGTTTGCTGAGAGCGTGCAACTCGGTACATTTGTCCCCTGCACGGTACAGGTAAGGGAAGTGGTACAAGATCAGAGGGAATTCTGATTTCCTGTTTTTCACGCAGCGCCTGAGCTTGTTCGCTGTTGCATCGAGCAGCTCCTCCAGCTCGAGGAAAGTGGCCGAAAATGTCCTGGTCCTGTTGGACTTCGGTCTGCTCCTGTGAGATTTAACGTGAATGGATTAAACTGTAAAAACTGTGATTGGTGTAACTTTTTAATTTTTTTTTATTTAAACGAGCCATGTGGTTAGAGCTGCTGTAAGTGAAAGCGCCAAACCGCAACCGCAGAGATCCAGGTGTGCAGATGTCTGCAGAGCTGCTTTAAAGGGCTTCGAGCAGAACTTCAGCTGCTGTCCAGGACCAAGATAAACAAATGATGCCACACAAAACAAGGCAGAACCAACATGTATGATAAAAACATGTAATTTACATAATGATTCATATCGAGAGCCACCTGTTGACTCTCAGGTAGTCCCTGCTATAGAAACCGAGAGTAAACCTTTACAAAAACTGTTATCATAGCCTTCGAGTTTATAGGAAACGTGCTCGATGCATCAAACATTTCATTTTTGTCCCGTTGAGCTTTAAACAAACCTTTTCTTCTGCAGGTTTGTTTCATGAAACAAAAACATGATTTAAGTTGTGGTTTTGTCTCTCATGTGATTTGAGGGTAGGGGGAGAGAGAGAGTTTCCGTGAAATAATGTGTTCTTTCTGATTGAGGGAAACCACCATCAAACACAGACGCAGAGGCTTCTCGTCCAGAACCAACATGACGGCTGCCGGCGGTGAGTATCTGACCCGAGCTCTGGGTTTAAGGCTTCTGAGGCCGAGAGAAGAATGAAACCTTCAGTGATGGCTGTTTTTATTTACCTGGGATGTCGCTGCACCTGTTCTGTTAGTTTAGTCCAGTGGGTGCACACATCTGTATGACCAAAGATCAAGTTTACAGGTGACATTTTACACATTTGTTTGTTTAAAAACAGTAAATAAATAAAGATGCACATTTTAACCTGAAAAAACTACAATTATGTTTTTAAAGAGTCCTAATGTTGTCACTGTTGAACTTCTGTACAAAAATACACTGAATAGATAGTATTTGTAAACGTTTTAATATATATACATATTTCAATTTAAAGCTGGCAGTTAGTGATATTATTCTGTGAGAACCTTCACTCAGAAGCTTGTTGTCAGTCAGAGGTTGTTCTATTTGTGACTCTGAGAGACCGACGGCCGTTTAAAGACCTGGCTGTGGTAAATAAGAAGCTAAACTGTTTTCCACTGAGTCAAACAGCTGGTTGGACAGGAAGTAACGCCAACCTCACCTATCATCTGACAGACACCTCAAGAGGAAATTCACCTACAACAAAAACTATTAACAAGACATTTATATTAATTATTTCACTGTAAAACTGTTTACTTTGCAGTATCGTTACTTTATTTACAGTATTCTTACTGTATTTTTACTTTATAATATCATTATTTACAGAATCACTGCTGTATTTTACTTTTTAGTATCCACACTGTACAGTAATATTACTGTAGTTTACAGTATCGATACTTACAGTACCACTACTGTATTTTACTTTAGATTATCAATACTATATTTAACTTTACAGTATCATTATTTACAGTACCATTGCTGTATTTTACTTTACACTATCATTATTTATAGTCTGCTGTATTTTTACTTTACAGTATCAATACTGTATTTAATTTTACAGTATCATTATTTACAGTACTATTGCTGTATTTTACTTTACACTATCATTATTTATAGTCTGCTGTATTTTAGTTTACAGTATCAATACTGTATTTAACTTTACAGTATCATTATTTACAGTACTATTGCTGTATTTTACTTTACAGTATGAATATTTACAGTACCACTGCTGTAATTTTCTTTACCGTATCAATACTGTATTTAACTATACAGTATCATTATTCACAGTACTATTGCTGCTTTACAGTATTATTATTTACAATGCACTATTTTACTTTACATTGCCATTCCTGTAATTAAATGTACTGTATTATTGTATTTTACTTTTAAAGATTAAAATGGCTTCTGACTTTGCTGTATTATTACTTCATTTATAATACCATTGCTGTGTTTAACTTTACAGTATTGATACTGTATTTAATTTACAGTATTGATACTGTATTTACAGTATTGGTACTGTATTTTTCATTACAGTATAAAACAGTTTTACTTACAGTATCATTATTGTATTTACAGTACCATTACTTTATTTTACTTTACATTATCAGTACCTTAATTTACTTTATAGTATCAAAACCTCAATTTACTGTACAGTTACAATACGTCATTTACAATACAACTGATGGTAAATGGTAAATGGGCTGTACTTATATAGCGTCTTTCTATCTTATCAAGATACTCAAAGCTCTTTACAACACAATACGTGCCCTCATTTCTTCATACAGCATTCAACATTGATGTTTTAACTTTACAGTATCAAAACAGTATTTTACTTTACGGTGTCGTATTTTACTTTACGATACAGTTTGTTTTATTGCCTCTTTACTGTATTTTTATTGACAATAATATTACTGTACTGTTAAATTAATGTTTTATATGTGTGTTTATTTTTTTTTTTTTATATTTCTGTAAAGTGACTCACAGTAGAGAACTTTACAACAGAGAACTGAATATTTTCCCTCAGTCCATTGTGGTTTTCAGCTATGTTCTGTATACAAGTACACACAGAAACAAAACTGTAAAGATGATTTAGGAAATCTGGGGAAATGACCCTGAAAATGACAGAAAAGAGATCAAATGATTTTTGCAAAAGACTTTGGGAGAAAAAGCGACACAAAGTTTAGACTCTAAATAAACTCTGTGTGTGTTTCAGATCTCCAGAACCTTCTGTCAGCTCTGCTGATCTGGACCTGGTTCAAGGTGAGAAAAGTTACAAATAAAAGCAAACTAATGATTTAAACTTTGGCCTTTAAATTGTCCTCATTACTGACTTTTATTAAAAATGAATTTAGGACTTAAAAGTTTAATGCATTTTTAAGAATGTAGTATTTTTATTTATTTTCTGGAGTTTTTATCAACAGAGGTTTGCACAAGTATTCACATCACCCTCCATTGGTTCTGTTTTGTTGTCTTACAGCTAATAAACTGGGTAGTTTAGGGTTTTATTCATTTATCAACAAAACATCACCACTAAGAAGATGATAAATATTTTTGTTTGTGTAACAAACAAGAAATGAGACCAACCTAAAAAAATTCTGAATGGGCATCTAGTCCCTTCAGGCTTATCTCCATGATCTGGACATTTTTGCTGGTGTGCTTTGTAAGACCAATTGGTTGTGGCAGCCATCTTGAATTGGGTTAATTCAAAGTCATCCAGTGAATGTTTCCAGAGAGTTTTATAAAAATCCATCCACACACAAGCAAAAACACTATTGTCCCTTTTCACCTTTTGGCAACGACTGATGACGTCCAACAAAAGAATTAGACGTTAGTAATCCTGGTTGTTCCTGGTCCAGCGTTTTGTTGTGCTGCACCTAAAAGGAATAAAGAAGGCTCCTCCCCTTTGTTTATCTTTGTTTACAGTCTTGTTTGTCCGAAGAAGCAGAGAATACGACGGCCTACTACGACAATGAAACCGTTTCCAGTGACTTCTATGACGACATGCCGGTACTTTGTGTGAAACAATCGAACCGTAACTTCCAGCGCTGGTTCATCCCGATCTTCTACAGCATCATCTGCCTGCTGGGGCTGGCCGGGAACCTGCTGGTCATCCTCACCGTCTTCTACTTCAAGCGTCTGAGGAACATGACGGACGTGTACCTGCTCAACCTGTCCTTCGCGGACCTGCTTTTTGCGCTGTCGCTCCCCTTCTGGGCGGCCAACTCCCTGTCGCAGTGGGTTCTGGGCCTGGCTCTGTGCAAAGCCATGCACGCCATCTACAAGATCAGCTTCTACAGCAGCATGTTCCTGCTCTCCTTCATCAGCATCGACCGCTACTTCGCCATCTCCAAGGCCGTGTCCGCTCACCGCTACCGCTCACAGGCCGTCCTCTTCAGCAAGGTGTCGTCGGCTGTGATCTGGGTCATGGCGCTGGTCTTCTCCATCCCAGAGATAGTCTACACCAACATCAACAATGGCAGCTGCTCTCCATTCTCCAGCAACACGGACACGCTCCGCGTCAGCCTCCAGGCTAGCCAGATCGTTCTGGCCTTCCTTCTTCCTCTTCTGGTCATGAGCGTCTGCTACAGCAGCATCATCCGGACGCTCTGCCAGGCTCGCAGCTTCGAACGGAACAAGGCCATCAAGGTGATCCTCGCAGTGGTCGTCGTCTTCCTGGCCTCCCAGGTGCCCTACAACGTGGTCCTCTTCTTGACCACAGTGGTCACTGGAAATGGGGGAACCATCAACTGCGACTACGACAACAACCTTCTGTACGCCACCGACGTCACGCAGTGCGTGGCCTTCCTGCGGTGCTGCCTGAACCCCTTCGTCTACGCATTTATCGGTGTGAAGTTTCGTCACGACCTGCTGAAGCTGCTGAAGGACAATGGCTGCATGAGTCAGGAGATGTTCTACAGGTGCACCTTCAGGAGGAGGAGCTCCGCTGGCCTCGACACTGAAACCACCACCACCATCTCTCCCAAACTTCTCATCACATCACCCAAAGACACTTAAGGACAATAGCTTCACATGTAAATATCAAAAAATGTATTTTTGCAAATGTTTTGTCTACGTTCTAAGTTCTTTTTGCTCTTTTGCTTTTAGTTTGTTTTTTGACTTTTTCCACAGTGTACAGGGCTGTAAATGGTTTTAGTGTCAATAAAACAAAGTAAAGCATTCAAACTCAGAGATTAAACCACACTTGTGTCTTGTTTTTGTGCTGTTTATGCACCACAAATCTAAAGTAACCAAACATGAGCAGTCACTTTTTTTTCGTGCGTTTACTTTTTTGGGTTCTTTTCTTTGGGTCATTGTTTTGTCCCTTTTTGTTCAAGTTTTCTTGTTGGTTGCTCTGCGTCACCAGCCCATTCTCCCTGGGTCAGTACTTTTCCACTCAGTTAGCCACGCCCCTCTACACCTGCACCCTCACTCACAGCTGCAGTCACTCTGCTCATCAGCCCCTGTCTTGTTAGTTCCCCGGTAGTTTTTCCTCTTCAGTTGATCGTTGTGTTCCTGCACCTCATCCAGACCGTCTGTGCCTCGAGTCTCCCAGAGCTTCCGAAAGTCTGATCCTCGGTTTTTGTAAGTGTTTGGTGTCTCGACAGTGTTTTGTTTCAAAATAAAATAAAGGTATATTTTATTCGAGCTCCATCAGCGTAGAGTTGCACTCGGGTCCAAATAATCCGACCCGGCCCCAGCCCGTAGCCGTCATCTTCGAACCCCACCCGATCCGATGAATTAACAGTAATTACAGGTCTGAACCCGAAAAAAGGGTCCTGAGACAACACACAGACACAGGAAATTACATGATCGCCTGCCTTTCCTGGCAGTCAACAAATAATCAGCCTGAACACCTGACTCACCTCTCAGGTGTGTCAGAGCTGGAGGAAAGACCCCGCCCCTTTTATAGACAGATTTCAGCGCTATTTGAACCTCAAACGCACAAGTCCGCACGACGTATTCCAGACACATTTACCTGCTGACGCTTGTTCCGACTGCTAATCCTTTCCGTTCTCGTGAAAACTTCTCATTCTGCTCTTCAGGTGTTACATTTCACGGTTTGGGACCTTTTCACACGGATTCCGAGGTGCAGATTTCACAGAGACCGTTTGACTCATTCCTCTCACAGCAACAGTTTGAAGAATCTTTTGTTTGTTTTGAATTTTTAGGGTTTAAAGTTGGTGTTTCTGTGCCTGAAGTCTGCAGAAGGGATTTAAAGATGCTGATTTAAAACTATTTGTAAAAATAAAGCAGAGGTGCTGTGAGTGCTTGTGTTGTTTTCATGACCAAAACTAAACGAGAAAACACCAAGAATTTTGATTAAGTGTATTTTCTAAAGCTCGTAACTCAAAACAAGGAATCCTGAACAGATGACGCAGAAAAAACAAAACTAATTTATCATGTTTTTCTTGCAATCAAACCGTCAGGACATCTTCAAACGTTTGGCTTGTAGAAGGTTTACTTGTGGTTTCTAGAGTTACTAAAAGTAGAACGAGAGGCAAATTTCTGAACGTCACACATAAAACAACAACAAAGAGCCGCATTTCATTAGAAATCACACTAAAATAACTTTTTTTTTTTTTTTTTAAGAAAACAAATATGTTGCTCATAATGATTTGGTGCTGTTCTGCACTAACACAGAGACAAAAATCATCAGATAAAAAGCAAATTTTAGAATAAAAAAAAAAAACAGTAAGAAAATGTAAAAAGAAATGAATTAAGTATGAATTAAGATTTTCAACATGCACATGAAAAGTAGAGCTCAGTGGCTAACTGCTAATGCTAACAGAGGCTAATGCTAATACTTGCTAGCAATGCTATAGCATTGCTAGATCTTTGTTATAACAAAGATCTGGGTAAGGCTAACAGCGATGAGACAAAAATGAAGACAGACTTCTCGATGGACGTGGGACTCTGAAGACATTTTAGTTGTTTTGTCTGAATGCTGATTTAACTTTCATATAAATAATATACTAAAATGGCTCCAGCAAACTTTCTCGTCTTTTCTTAGTTTTAGCCACCTTGCAAACCTTAGCTTTGAAATGTTTAGCTAGTCTTTTGGTAGTATTAGCTAGCATTTTGCTACATTTAAATTCTAGATCATCTTTTGATATTTTGAGCAACAGTTTAGCTTTTTTCTTTTGCTATTTTAAAGTTTTAGCTAGGCCTTGCAACTTTAAGCTAACTTGTTGCTTTTTTTTTAGTTACCGTTTTAGCTCAACTTTTTAGCCTTTAGCCACTTTTAGCTCACATCTTGCCATATTGAACTTTTAGCTCACCTTTTGCTATTTTAAATTAGCATTTTAGCTTTTAGCTCTGATTTAGTTTAGTTGTTTTCTCATTTTACTTTTTAGTTAGCCTTCTGCTAATTTTGGCTCTAGCTAGCCTTTTGCTACCTTTATCTTTTTTAGCCTTTTGCTACTTTTAGCTAAAGTTTTACAACTTTTAGCTAACTTTGAACATTTATCTAGTCTTTTACCATTGTAACCGAGATGAAAAGTTTAAGGAATCACCAAAACTGATGTTATTATTTCTCTGGCGCCACCTACTGGTAGTTTGGCACAGTTGCATGCGAAGGGTCCTTCAGGCGCGCGCTCCGCTCCCCCCAGCAAAGTGATAATGGAAGTTGGTTGAGGTAAGCGAGCCCATTCTACACTCAACATCAGTTTAAAGTCATATTTATGCTAAATTAACTAACCCATAAAACCTGTCACGGGTGTATGAGCACTGTTAGTGTATTTTGTGAAGGTCTTGCCGTGTTTGTGTCCAAATAACGACTTTATGGATGAGATTTGCGCCGGTTAGCATGCTAAGCTAATAGAAGCTAACCGCTGCTAGTCGTTTTTCTGATAACAGGTTCTTTATCTTTTTGCCCTGAACAGATCCATGCATGCAACTGTCGCACACATACTGATAGAATATTGCGTGTTGTTTATTATACCAGGTAGGCTGAAATGTGTATGAATATGTAATGTGTTTTTAAAATGTTTTACTGTCATAACTGACAGTTACTGTTTTCATGCTGTTAACTGTGTTTTATGGGAAAAGAAAACGTGTTTTGCTGTAAAATGTAAAACTGTTGCATGAATATATTGAGGAGGAAAAATAAAGTATACGATCACACAGAAAAGAAAAAGCGATATTGGAATCTGGTGGAGATCCATGCATGCAACTGTTGCACACATACTGATGGAATATTATGCTGTTTATTATACACATCCCTGCAGTAATGAACATTGAAGAGCAGTCCTGTGCCCGTGACCTGAGTTTACTCACACTTTGTCGTATTAGTGAAGAAAAACAACTCGGATGGTTACACTATTTTAAACTTCTAGTTCATTCTAATGTTAGCTATCATTATCTTTTAGCTAACATTTTGCAATTCTGCTTTTAGCTAACCCTATGACACCTTTAGCTTTTAGCTAATTTTTTGCTCTTTTGTTTTTGAAGATTAAACTTTTTTTCAAAACAAACAAGTGTATATGTTGCTAAAAAAGCTCTGTTTATTGCAAACAAATTCATAAAACAACCTTTTTACAATCGCTAAAACAAACAGCACACGTTTTATTTGTTATTAATCTTGATAATTTTTGTGCATTAGAACCTCCTGGTTCTCCTGGTGAAGCGGCCTCCAGCTACACATTAAATCAGTAATAAGATACAGTATAATTATGTTGAAGCTAGATTTACATCCTCACTGCTGATTGGCTGACAGGAAACGGGGCTGGGATTTTATAAATAAAAGCTGCACCAGGAGAGGAGAAATCTGAAGAAGGAGCAACAGAAACCTGAGCTCAGGAATTTAAGGTAAGATATTTAATGTTTTACTCCGAGATGTTTTGATTCGTTTATGCTCTTCAGAACAAAAACAGGGGAGGTCAAAGTTTTGACTGTTCTAAAGAGTAAAAATAAGAAAGTAAAGTGTCACAAAACTTTATGGACTCCTGTGTAAGTTTAATATTAGAGAATTTAAAGGAGTTCCTCTGCAACTGATATCAACATGTCACCACCAAAAATATTTTTATTTATTTTTGACTGAATTTCCTTCTTGATACTTTAAAGATATATATATATATATATATATATATATATATATATATATATATATAAAGCAATCTGGGTGTCTTTAAGTCTGATTACAGCTTGTCTGATTCTGCTTCATGCACAGGAGCTGATTTTAGAGTTCAAACTTCACGTGTTTCACGCCTTTTAGCACACGCTCTCTAAAGTTTGGACCTGCAGGGTAAACATAGCTGTAACCATGGCGACAGTCGGTAACCTGCATGACTCAGAGGGCTCCACGCCCTGCCTGATGAGACGCCAGCCGACCCTCCCTGGTGTTGCTCAGCCTCTGCTGATATCAGCCATGAGTTGCATCATTCAGGCAGCGTCTCTTCACCGTTAGGTCCTGGAGTTCTGAAGGCAACGACCAACTTCAGGTGATAAAATGTAAACAAGACCAGGGTCGAGTCTCTGTGCCTCAGGAGGAGGAGTTCAGGTGTCTGGGCATCTTGTTCCTGAGTTATGGAGTGGAAGACAGAGACGGGCTTCATTCTCAGTAATGAGGGCGTTGCTTCGGTCAGTCGTGGTGAAGAGTTTAATCAAACTAAATTGATTTACTGGCCTGTCTATGTTGCAGTTTCCAAAGAATCAGATCCTGAATCCAAGCCGGTGCAATGAGCTTCCTTCATTACATGTCCAGGCTCGGCCTTAGAGATCTGCTCCTCTGCATCAAAAAGAGTCAGTTGAGGTGGTTCATCTGATTAGGGCACCTCACTTTTGAGGCTTTTATGGCATGTCCCATTGGGAAGAGACCCCAGGGCAGACCCAGAACTCTCTGAAGGGATTATGTATCCTCTCTGGTCTGGAAACACCTTGGAGTCCCCCCGGAGGAGCTGGAGTCTTTGGGGAGAGGGAGGTCTGGGTTTCTCTCCTGGACCTGTTGCCTCCACACTCCGATGTCAAACTAAAAAACTGATTGAGGTTCTAGCATCCTAAAGTTTAATCTAAGACTTTAATTTGGTTAATGGTGGGCACAGCTAACTAAAAAATTAGCTTAGCTAAAGCTAAACAGGTAAAAGAAAATTAGCGTAAGCTAACGCTAAACCGTTAACCGCCAAGACGACTGTCACTCAGTCTGTGTCACACATCTTCACCTCCTTCCAGTTGAAGCTGCATCGACCAATCACGTCACGCATACACACAGTCAGCCAATAGCGAGCCCAACGGATTCTTTGAGACACGCCCACAACAGACAGGAAGCTTGTGAATTTTGTTAGCTGACCTAAAGTTAGTCAAACCTAATTTAGCAGAAGCTAATTCTGCTAATGATTTCCAAAGTTAGTGCAAACGATAATCCAGTAAATGAAAACGTTCAGCGATTAGCAGATTGGCAGATTAGCAGAATGGTTTTGGCTCTCCTGCATTAATTCTTTCCAACAGGAAGTGTTTTTATTTCTCCGGTCGAGCTTGAAAATGACTTGTGATGCTTGAAACCACAGTTTGGTCGTTTCGCGCTCTCTGCACGCGTCACCTTTCAGTTTCAGTTCGTTCACAAAATCCTTTTTGAATGAACTCTGATCAACATTTAACAATGCTAGCAGTAGCCTTGCTGCCCTTCCACTTGGTCTCTTGGACACATAAAACATCTACCTTCCTTCTCTGCATCATGTCAGCCTGTTCTCTTATCTTTGCCTGTCATTGTCCCCACATTTAGAGTTGCAACCCTCAGTCCTACTTTCTTCACGTTCCTCTTCTCTCTCTGTCTCCTGACACGTTTCCCTCCTCGTGGTCTTCAACTTAACAGTAGCACAATTCCTGCCGGCACCGTATTTGTCAACAGCACCGGTGGCGATGGTTCTTAATCCGGGCCTTAATCCGGGCCTCGACCGATCCGGTATGGTTTCACTTTGATGAACTCGCATTGTAGTTTTGGCAAAAGTGTTTTACGTTGGATGCCCTTCCTGACACAACCCTCACCGTTTACCTGGACTTTGGACTGGCACAAGAGATACACTGGCTTGTGCTCCCTAGTGACTGGTTTTTAACAATGCTTATAAAATCTATTTAAATGTTTACAAAATGCATGCATTAAATGTACATAAAGATAAAACTACATTTAAAACTTTAGTGAAAGATGTACTAAGAATGAATCAAATAAAAATGAGGGTTCCAGTACACGAACACTGAAGGTTTTAGTCATTTTTCTTCTGAAAGTTCATGAAAACTTTAAGATAATGAGCTAAAATCTCTGTTAGCAGAACTTTTTATGACGTAGATGAAATTCAGAAAAAAATCAATAAAATTTTCCCCTCATAGAAGTCAATGAGTTTAGGTGAAATGAGCCATTAAATCCAGCTGCGTGCAGCTCAGACTTCCCAGCAGAACCATCATTCAGCGTTTAAACGGGTCACAGAAGGCTGGACCGGACTTCAGATCTTTAAACAGTCACAGGTTTAGTTTAATTCATAGTGAAAAATTTCCAGCAGTATTATTTTCTCTTTCTCTTTGAGCGGTTTAAACTCTCCAAGATTTTTGCAAACAAACTCTACAATTTATCACTTTAGTTAGAGTTTATTTGTCAAATTGTTTGCATCACTCGGAACAAAAAGTCGTCTGATGTGAAAACAACAAAACCAGAGGTTCTGATGTGTTTGTGTCCTCTGCAGTCCCAGAGAATCCAGCCCTCCTGACCTGATGCCTACTGCCGGAGGCATGGCCCACGTGAGACCCAGTCATGTTCTGAGAGTGGGCCAAACCATCTGCCTGGACTCGGTCCAGGACTCAGTCGCTCAGCAGCCCAGCTGTCACCTCGAGGACTCGGATCTGGACATGACCCTGGAAAACCTGAACCAACTCATGATAGAACTGGACCCCACGTTTGAACCAGTTCCTGTCAGCAAGACCCCGACCTGCAAAAAGAACCCAGCAGGTAAAGAGTCAAACTGACTTTGAACTTGGCCGTGAATTTAAAACAGGAAGACATTTTTAGTGTTTGTAGAGAAATAAACTGAAACAGAAAATTAAAATAAAGGTTGTAAGTTTATCTTTAAATTTAACAAAAACAATAAAAGACTGATTAAACTACAATTTAAGGAGGATAGATCTGTCATGGTTTGAAAATTAATTAAAATTTTGAATTGTTTTGGGACAACGTTCCTCAAGGCTCAGTGCTCGGCCCACTTATTTTTTTTGGGGTTTTTTGTACGTTTGTATTCAACATTAGGGTCAAGGATAAAAATCCATTTTGTTCTAGACAGGATTTGAACAGATATTAAACTTGTCAGAAAGTTTGTTTAGTGCTAATAAATAAATGTTTTTGGGGGTAAATATGTAAATATTTTTCATATAAAAAGTGTTTAAAACCATAATTTTTTTGCAACATCACAGCTTAATTCATACTTTTCTCAAATTAGGTTAAATTAAAGTAGTTTTTTTGACTCCGGCTTCAGTATAAATTTAATCTATTTTTTCTATGTGCACAATTATTAAAAGATAAAGATAATTTAAGAAAACTTGATACACATTTGCAGCACTACTAGACAGAGTGTCTCATACACTTTTCATCACCCTATCCTTAAGGTCACAAATCAAGGTCAAAGGCTGTACAAGCTCTTCGCTGAGCCGTTGCTGCATAACATTTTGTCAACGGGTGCATAATGTGCCGTATGTTTTGTTTATCTTGTTTTGACATTTAATTTATAAACATGCAAAGGATGGGCATTTTTAATATTCTTTATGTCTATTTATTTGCTTATATGTTGAAATTTGCCACAGATTTGGTTGTTTTTAATGATTTTTATTGTTTTTAAAGCCTTTTATGTGTTTGGCTTCATGTAAAACATGCAGCAGTGTTAGCCCAGACCGCCTGCAGCTTTTTAAAAGCACACACCCTGTGAGACACGTTCAATACTTTTAATCATGCGGTCGATTCACCACCTCTGCCCGGACCGACACCACGCCCTGTCGGCCCCAAGTTACGTATCGAGACGGTGCAGCAGAACCCCTGGCTCCTCGCAGTCTGTACAGAAGGTAAGACGGCAGAGAACATCACTTCCTGCTGCTGGGCTCGTTTGGAAACAGTCACTCGCATCTTTGTGAAACCAGCGAGGAGAGCAGAGGTGAAAACGTTGACAGGAAGCTGAGGAATAGTTATGAGAAGCCGTTTAAGAGTTCACGTGTTGATGAGTACCTGCTTCCTGTTTCTAAATGATTCTACTCATCAGATTTTACCAGCTTTTAGGAACATTAGTCTTTATTCCTTTAGTTTAAAATCCACCGGTCTGACGCAGATCCCTGACCTCGGGCTGTGTTTTCATTTAAAGGCTTCATTTTCTTCAACACAACAAGGCCGAAGGAACAAGCTCAGACTTCTGTCATCGTTCTAATTGCAACAGAAGGAAAACGCCTCGGAAAGCAATTTGTTAAAAAAAAAAATAAAGGCATCTCTGCGTGTTCCTGCAGGAAAAATATGAACCTTTTTTTTTTTTCCTCTCGAGGTTATATAACGAGGTTAAACCCATTCTGCACACAGTTCTGGGACGTGCAGGGGTTTAACTTGACCCTGTCAATTTCACAAACTGTGACTGAACAAAACAGAAGCTTTATTGTGGAAAACGTGGTTCTGCTCGGGTCTGAAAGGATGAACGACTTAGACTGATTTATGGAGTCAAACCAATAAAGACACGAATAACAGAGGTTTTACAGATGTGGAGCTGAAATTTGTGCCCGCGGAGCAAATTTGACCAAAATAAGACGATCTTAGTTTCCAACTTTGACCAAGTTGGAACTAGTTGTAAATAAAAACCAAATGCAACGATTTCCATTCTCTTAAACAGAAACAGGTTTTATTCACAAAGAAACATAATAAACTTTAAATGATTAAATTAAGAAATTATCCTTTTTTAAAATAAAAGTTATTTAGAATTTTTCAGCAGCAACACGTCTCAGAAAGTCAAATTAAATTAATTTAAAGAGCAAATTAACAAATAAATACATAAAAAGACAAAACTGAACAAGAGATCATAAAAACAAACAAAAATAAAAACAGCAACAAAACACAGTCCTGGACCTCAGGACATCTAGAGACCTGGTCACCTCTGTGGACCAGCCTGGACCTCGGAACAACTAAAGACCCGATCGCCTCTAAACTTGCAGGAATCTAGATCTGTGGGAGCTCTCAGGGGTCTGACAGGTCTACAGGAGCCGGTCCCTTTAGGTTCTTTCAGTTCATGGATAAAACTCTAAAACCAACAGGGATCCAGTGAAGGCTCAGCAGTAGCCTGAGCTTTAATTTTACGATGGATTCAGTGAATTGGCAGCAGGTCAGGTTGCAGTTCGGTTACAGAAAGAGCTTCAGGTGATACTTGTTCCTTCGAGAACTGCTTGTTCTTTTTAATCCTCTTTCTAATCCTTTCCCTCTCTCCCTTCAGGCTCCTTGTTTTCTGACGTCTCAGATGAAGTTCCTCGCTGCGTTCTGGTTCCCAGGGGGTGTCCGTCCAGCCCTTCGCCCACCGCGGTGCGACCTGCAGCGCCCAGCAGCCCCATCCCAATCCTGAGCTGCAGGCCTCAAGGTGCGCCGGTGTTCTCCGGCTCCCCTTCATCCGTCCTGCCCCCGCTGCCCTGTGGAAGCGCCCCCAGGAGAAACCCCTCGCCCAAACCAGACTTTCCCCAGGGATCCCTACGCACCACCCAGTCCAACAGGAACAGCGCCGCCTCGCTCCTCTCCACGTCTACGTGCTCTGACACCAGCTACATCCTGGGCAGGTATAAACGAGCTAATTATACACCCGAGTACTGTGTTCAAAGTCTAATGTAGACAAAAAAAATACAAATAATAGGGGAAAAGAAAGGTGGAGCTCAATGGGGTTTTGGAAAGTTGGACTTGACATGACTGAACTGGTGTTTTGATCTTTTTCAAGAGTTTTAACACAAACACAGCAGGTTTTGTTCAGCTGCCACTCGATGATGTCATCAGCCTTCGTCTAAACTGATCAAATCTTTGTCTTTCTCCTGCGACTCTTTTTGGCACACAAACGTATTACACAGTAAAATGCCAACATTTTTCTCTCCTTTCTGCTGGAGAACCTGGTGTTTTCTCTCAAATACCCTCGGAGCACAGAGAACGCTGCGTTGAGCTTCAACAGAATCCGTTTTATTTGAGCTCAAAGTGTTCTCTTGAAAACAGGAAGTGAGGGTTCTTTTTCACGTGAGATTTTTTTTTACGTAAAATGCTGTAGAAACACAAAAACTCACGCGTGTGACCATCAAAGTTTTCTACCGATCACGGTTCAAGAGTCTTTAAGACTCGATTCGTACTGTCTGAACAGCGAGACTTACTTTTTAGTCTGTGTCTCTTACGTTTGTTGCCATGGACTGAACTGAAGTCCAGTGAGGTTTTATTTGTTTATATATAATGTTTATATCTTCTTCGAACAGCAACCTGTCCCTGACCGGAGAAGATCATGACTCTACAGAATCCATCCTTCCCTGCACACCCGGTTCCTTCACGGAAGGATCCAGAACCCGGATGTTTGACTGCAGGCCGTCCCTGACCAAACACGGACATCTTCATGGACTCCAGAGTAAAGGAACATGGAGCAGTCCTGCTTCACTGTCCGGTTCTCAAACGGATATTCCCCTGCTGCTCATCAACGGAGAACCGGAGTCGGACCTGCACAGTCCACCAGGACCAGGGGCTGACCTGTTCCAGAACATTCCCCTGTCTCCTTCCAAGCAAAGATCTCCAGGTTACATAGCCAGTTTCTGTAGCAGCTTACCGTCAATGAAGTTTGTCATGGACACGTCAAAGTTCTGGTTCCGTCCACACATGAGCAGAGCAGAAGGTAAGAACGCTGCTTTACAGCGAGATAAAGCCAAAGTTTATTTAATCTGAAGGTTTGATACCGTCTGAAGATCTTCCAGTTATCAGGCTCCTCTCTTGTGGAACCAACTTCCAGTTTCTGTCCATGATGCTGACACTTTGTCCAGTTTTAAGACTTTCCTTTTTTCCTATAGTTAGGGTTGGCTTGTCCTGCTGTCTTAAGCTTAGACTACTAGATAAATGGTAAATGGACTGTATTTATATAGCGCCTTTCTATCTTATTTCAAGACACTTTAAGCGCTTTACGCTACAATCTGTGCCTCATTTACCCATTCATACAGCTCTATACTAGATCTCTACAAAGCTAATTGAACAAATCATTCTAATGAGACTAATCGGAGCTTTATCACATTCATACACTGATGGGACACACATCAGAGGCGATGAGGGGTTCAGTGTCTTGCCCAGGGACACTTCAGCATGTGACTGCTGGTGGATTTGAACCCCCAACTCTCGCATTGGAGGACGGCTGCTCTAACCACTCAGCCACAGTCGCCCCAAAGAGGACATATTGACCTCATTTCCTTAAATTAATTGTTAAAATTGAATAATTTTCATTTGATATTATTTCTATCTTAACATGTGATTCTTGTCCTGCCATTGTGTATCTGTTCCTACCAAACCCAGCCGGTCGAAGCAGATGGCCGCTTGTCCTGAGCCTGGTTCTGCTGAACGTTTTTTCCTCATGAGGGAGTTCTTCCTTTCCACTGTCGCCTTCGTGTTTGCTCAAGATGAGAGTTCTGTGATGGAGTTATTTCCTCAGATAAATAATGTTAACTTGTTATTTTTATATATGAATGTTTCTGTTCAGTGTCCTGAGACGACTTCTGTTGTGACTTGGTGCTGTAGAAATAAATTTAATTGGACTCTGAAGCACACAAAATGGACGCTGACACACACACTCATGATAGACTACAATCATGATGGAC